TAATAATAATAATAATAATAATAGCAGTTGCAGTAGCAGTAGCAACAAAGGTGACAGTAGTGGCGATAGTAGTAGAAAAGGGCGTAATAGGAGGAACAGCGATAGCGAAAGGAAAGAGTATTCGTAGTAGCAGGAGTAGTAGGAGTAGTAGGAGAAGTAACAGTAGTGGCAGAAGCTACATCGGATGCAAAAGTAAGAGGAATAGTAAAATAGGAAACGACGTAAAAGTAATAATAAGTAGTAATAGTAATAGTAGTTTCAGTAGTAATAGAAATAGCAGTAGCAGACAGCAACAGTACTAGCGGTAATATTAATGATCATCGGTGTAATCGTAGTCGTTAGCTCTGTTCCTTGCATCGTCGTCGTCGTCGTCGTCGTCGTCGTTGTCGTGGTTGTCGTTGCGGTCGTCGTAATAGTAATAGTCTTAGTTGTCATCGTCGTCAGTGGAAACTACGGTCATTCGGTCCTGTAGAGGTCGGTTCGACTACTGTACACAGATATTGCCACAAAACGTGTCGCTTTGGAATAACGCGCATCCCGCATATTCGAGCTTAACCATGGAGTGTACGTTCGCCTGTGAAACGGACAACGCTCGTGGTTCGTCGCCTAAAGCATAACCGGAAATGTGTAACGTCGTTGTGGCGGAAACCGCTCCCGATTGGGAACCGACTACGACGACGACCACGTCACCGACGCCGTTGTCGTTGTCGTTGTCGCAGTGGTCGTCGTGGTAGCCGCCGTTGCTCCAACGACGAACGGGAAACGAAGGAACGCCGAAACGAACGGTACAAACGTCATTCGTGCTTATTCTACTTGCACGCGCACGGGCGATCATCGTCGAAACTTTAGCTCTTTGCCAATTATTGCCGTTTGCTCGTCGACAGCGAATTTTTCAGAAATTACGGAATAGCGTTTCTCGTGTATACGATACGATACGATACGATACGATACGATATAATATATCGGCATTCGTCGTCGTGCAATGGCACGACGATCGCACGATTGCACAAGGAAAACGAGTTTTACCTAAGGAACTAACTAGTTAAATACGATCGACGAGTATAACCACGAATAACGGTCGTCGTAGGTATCGGAAGATCGATCGCCGCGACATTGCATTTTCGGTTTATCGAAGAAAAACGGGCTCGACCGTCGCCTCGTGCTTGGACGATCGTCTCCCGACGATGCTTCTTATCTCTTAGATATCGCTGGTTTCCTCCGCTTTCTTTTCGCATTCTTTCTCGGCTTTCGTTCGTATTATTCCCTGGGAAAGTGTTTACGAGATTAAAATGTTACCATCTTACAAAGTTAGCGTTACAAAATATCGGCGGCGTACGAGCGCGCGAAAACGATGAGACAAAAGCACGCGTTTCGAGTGGCATATAAAAATACACAATGTTCTCGTTCGACGATTAAACGCGTAATCGCGGCAAATGGAAATTCGGACTTTGAAAATGGGAATGCTCGAGCTCTTTCGTCGGCGACACCCTGTACTCTGCACGCTTTCGAAAGTTACCTACAAAACTCCGTGTGTCCGTGTGTATCGTGTCGCGCACGGTGTGCGTGTTCCTTCGCGTAACGTGTATCCGTGTATGCGTGTACGTACGTACCTACGTACGCGTTTTCCTTTTCGCGTTCCTTTCGATCGACCATCGATCCCATATTCTCCTTCCGTTGTCGTCGAAATCGTTCCAGACGCGCTCCTGTCTGTTTATCGCCGTGAACCAAGCCCGCGACCAGCCTTCCTCGACCGCGTCGCGCGTCGCGCGTCGACGAAGAGATCGTTGGAGCGCGATCGGGCAAAGAAGAGACGAGAACCTCGTGGGCAGTTTATCCGCGATCGCTCGATTACCGCTTCGCGACGCGCACGATCGAAGAAACAGCCGTGGGGGGATCGGGATTGGGGTGGACAGAGAGAAAGGTAGACGCGCAAAGATGAGAGGAAGGAAGGAAGGAAGGAAGAAAGAAGGAAAGAAAGAAAGAAAGGAGCAAAGTAAGCAAACGGAAAGAGACGAGCAACGAGCAAAAGGGTTCTGTCTCGCGTTCGGTTTGGTTCGCGGTATCGAATCTCTCGATGCAGATGAGACGCGAAAGAAGACGGCAACGAGAACCGTTTAGGTCGGTTCGGAAAGCGGGCTGCACCAGAGTTCGGTATGGATCCGATGACGGTTGAGCGTTATCGCAAACCTGTCTACTATAAGCTCGATCGCGGGGAACGTTCGTTGGGAACGAATGCGCGGTTTCCCGGCTCGGAGAAGATACGCTGGGAAAGCGGAGCAAGAAGACCGGGCGAAAACAACGACGAACGTGGCGCGGTATCCTGTTTTTATCGAGCGAACGCTTCCGTTGGCGGCGGACCTTCGAAACGCGTCGATGCTTTGGTTGCAGGGATTCCTAGCGTGTACGCGTTTTCGCAAACGCGCGCTCGTTATGCCTCGTCTTCGTTAGCGCGTACGACGTATCTCTCTCTTCCTCTCTCCCTTCCTCTCTTTCGTTCCATCTCTCGCGCGCGCACACGCACGCACGCACGCACGCACACACACACACACACACACACACACACACACACACACACACGCATACACAGGCGCACGCGCGCGTTACCTTCGCTTCTTCACCTTACTCCTTCGCGCTCTCGTTCTCTCTGCCTCTCGCACTCGCGCTCGCTCCGGATCTCTCACACCCGCTGGCACGCTCTCGTGGCATTTCTCTCTGACGCTCTCTCACTCTCTCCCGTTACGATATCATTCGGTTCGCGATCTTCCTGCCTCGCCCGTTTTCTTCTTCGCCTTGAACAAAAACGGCGCTTCGTTTAACGTACGTCTCTCCCATGGACGTGATCGGTTTCTAATCGTCGCTTCCCTTCTTTACATTTCCGCGAAATATATATATATATGTATATATGTATATACATACATGCATACATATACACACGCATGTGTACCGCCTCTGTGTGTGTGTATGTGTGTGTGTGTGTGTGTGTGTCCGCACGCGCTCGCGTGCGCTCGTGTATACGCGCGTGTGTGTATATATGTACGTATGACAGGTCGGACAGTCTAGGTGCGTCCTTGACGCGTAAGGTGGCAAGGTTCCTGCGTGTCTACCGGGCATCACCGCTCTCGGACGTTTGAGCCGTCGTCGCGGAATTATGGCTCGTCTCGTATTCCATCACCTCCTGGTAGATCAGCTCTTTCCACTGGTCCACCGTGTGCTCCCTCTCGTCCACGCTGTGATCGTACGGGCCTGGTGCGGGCTGTAAACAGATGTCAACTACCTTTCAATCGTCGTCTTTCTCCTCCTTCTTCGAGGAAAGAAGGAATCGTTCGGCGGAGAAAAGAGTCGAATCGGTCTCCGATCGATACTCGCCTTCTCTCTCCCACCACCATTCCCACCACTACCATTGCTATCGCTACGACTACTCCTCTACCACCACCACCACCACCACCACCACCGCCGCCGCCACCACCACCACGTTTCCCCGAGCTCCCGAAACGTGGTCGTGCAAGGGGTAAGAAAGAAGAGGGAGAGGAAACGCGAGGCGAGCACGGTAACGAGATTAACGAGGGAATCGACGACACTTACGGCATTGACTTCGCCCTCGTCGTACCACACGTTTATGTAATTGTGCAGCAAAGCATCGTCGACGGAGATGCGTCGCTCGGGGTCGATCACGAGCATGCGCGACAATAGATCCCTGGCTTGACTGGCTGTAACACACAACGAAAAGAAGAAACGCATGGAAGGCGCGTGGAGGTCGGAGGGTGGAGAAAAAGGACGGAAGACGCGTGGCGAAGGATCGAGACGGGGGCTCACCTTTCAATCTGTTGTGCTCCGACGAGTCCGATGGAAACAGAACGTCCGGGAATAACCTGTCGAACGGATATCCCGGATACCGCGGCCTGTTCTCCACGTAATTCCTCACCGTCGGCTGCAACCGCTGCATGAATTCCTGCGCCGGAGTTCCCAGTTGCTCTGCAACAACGTGCAGCAGTGCTAAACCGAGCGCGTTCCTCGATACAACGCCTACCCCGCTGAAGAACACCTACCGATTATCTTGTTCCACTGGTCGATGTGATCCGTACCGGGGAACAGCACGCCACCCCGAATCATTTCGCCCATTATGCAACCGACCGACCAAATGTCCACGTTCTCCTTGTATCCCATTCCGAGGATCACCTGCGTGTCCAACAGAACGTGCACCTCCATCTCTCTCTTTCTCTCTCTCTCTCTCTCTCTCTCTCTCTCTCTCTCTGGGACAGGATATACCTTACCTCTGGCGCCCTGTAGTACCGCGTGACCACGTACGGCGTCATCATGAAGGTGGTTCCGGCGGTCCTAGCCAGGCCAAAGTCGAGGATCTTGAGCGTACAGTCGGCCTTTACCACGATATTGCTCGGCTTTAAATCCTATCGGCGAGAAGAAGGAACAAGGAACGAGAGTTAAACGATTACTCGCGATCGTCTGGATCTCGACGAACGAATCGTCGCTTACCCTGTGAATGATACCGGCCGAGTGCAGGTGCTTGATGCCGCACAGCATCTGATACAGCAGGTAAGACATGCGTTCGTGATCCAGATCCATTTGGATCACCTGGCACAGGTTCGCGTCCATAAGCTCCATCACCAAGTAGACGTCTTGAAACTCGTCCAACGAGCGTTGCGGCGTGAACGCGTTCAACAGACCGATTATCTGCGGGAAAAGAAAGAATGGGACGCGTTCGACGGGAGAATCGTGGTGGTGGGTGCCGATCGGCGTACGGATCGGCGTACACTCACGTTTTTGTGATTGACCAGCTTCATCAGCTTGAATTCCCTGTAGGCCCTCTTCGCGTGCGTGACGTTTTGAAAAGGTCTGGACAATTTCTTGATCGCGACATTCTGCGTGGTGACCGTGTCGTACGCCGCGCTGCAACAACGAAATCGTATCGGTCCCGCGATATGCCGCGTCGCGAAGAGACGGATATACTCACCAAACGATGCCCTGCGCTCCGGATCCGATCGGCTTCAGGTTCTGATACCGTTTCAGAATGGTGAATCTGGTGTCCCCGACTTCGACCGTGTAAAACATGGCGGACAGCCGGGTTGTCATATCAGGCCCCAGGTAAGGCATGCGCCTCGGTGCTCTTCTCTCCTGCTGCACCTGTACCTGAACCTCCCCTCCGCTCGAGCACTCCTGGTGCACTCGATGAGGACTTACGCTCTTAGCCACTTTGGCTGGGAATACGAGCGTACTTGGTCGAAAGTAAACGCGATCTCTCGCCTCTGCTTGCTCGGTTGGTCGAGAGGCAGGAGCACCGGCACCGATACCGGCACAGATACCGGCATCGGCACCTGCGGCACGCTCTCGCCGCTGCTTCTCCGCTCCTCGCTTCCGGACGACGACGCCGCCGCCGCCCCGCCGCTTTGCTCGCTTCTTATGCGCGCCGGATTCGTCTGCGACAGATGATCGCCATTGCGACAACCGATTATTAGCCCAACCATTCTTTCCTCCTTTCCTCCTTTCCTCCTTTCCTCCTTTTCTCCATTTCCATCGGAATACGATCGCCACACGGTTTCGTGGCTTCGATTCGCGCGTGTAACATCCAGCTCGAAAGTTTCGGCGTCTCGGTCGAAAATAGAAATTGGAGCAAAGTCGGCCAGACGTTCTCGGCCGCGAAAGAAAAAGAAGACGAGCGTCCGCTGGTCAAACTGTTTTCGTCGGTCGGCCAAAATTAGAGGAAGACGAGGCGAAGGGGAGAAAGAAGAAGAAGAAGAAGAAGAAGAAGAAGTCGCGCGAATATTTCGACGACAGCGTGCCGCGTTTGCCTCGAAACACGGCAATTTCTTCTGCTACCGCGGGATTCCCCCAATTATTTATAGAGTATCGCGAACGCAGACGCCGACGCCGACGTCGACGACGCCGGTAACGGGTGGCGGATTAGCGCGATCTCTCTCCGTTTGTATTTTCTCCGCGTCGCGACCACGCGTCCTTTCGCTCGACACCTGCTACCGATTATGCGATTACGAGGGCTAGCTACTCGACCATACATCGCGGATTCGACGATCACCGAGATTCTCCTTCTCCTTCTTCTTCTTCTTCTTCTTCTTTCTCTATTTCTTTTTCGTCTTCTTCCTCGTCGTCTGCGTCTCCTGCTGCTGCCCGTCTACCCCCGCCCCGTTGGTCGCGTCTGGTCGCGTCTGGTCGCGTCGCAGACGCCACGGACTCGCCATTCCTT